AGCAGTGATTAAACACATATCTGAACTCCTAGCCAGTCTTAAAATATGAATGCAGCAGTAAATGGCTCAAGCCATGTCAAATATGTAGGGCTAAACGTGGATATTAATTATATAACCAGAGGGACTCAATTCACTTTGTAAAGCAATTAAAAGAAGACAGAAACTTACAGTCTGTTTCTGGAAAAAAGTAATGTCTGTTTAAAAATAACTTTCTACCCAGAATAGCCTGCCTGTCTCACATAGTATCAGTTGTGGGGAAATAAAACCCCAAACCAACACAACAGAACACTTTGGCATTTACAGCATTGCTTCTTTATGAGAAAATCAAACCCAAGTTTTAAAACAACGTAAGTTGACAGTTAGGTGCTCAGGTCCACTTTTAGGCATGTAAACAAAGACTTTGCTTTTCAAACTGCCTGAAGAGCACAGCAAAATTTAGCTTGCCCTTGTTTTTCCCCACGGGCAGGTTAAGGCTAGGAAGAGGCCTGTGTTCCTGTGGACAGGAGGGAGAGGGTTCATATTGCTCTGGATTATTTTAGTAGTCTGGTAGTCTGTCTCTTTTCTTTCTTTTCTTTTTTTTATTAACGTATTTCTTGCTTCAGAGTGGCCAGGCAAGGATTCCTTTCCAGCATATTCATCAGAACTGGAGTTTGTTCAATAAGCAAAGTATGAGTACTTCATTAACCTGAAGCACCTGCTCCAACAGGCATCCTGATGGCAAATTAACATTTTCTTTGATACTTACTGCACTTTAGTTTTGCTTTGAGTGGTATTCATGTTCCTCTTCTTTATAGGACACCCTCCAAAACCACCACTGAGTGGCTTGTGTCCAGCTGTCAGTGAAAGCATCTGAACTATTCAGGCCAATGGCCACAGCATCTGTCCCTCCCTCTGCCTCCCAGGGAGAGAATGCCAGGATTACACATCTTCAAATATCTGCTGGTGCTCCATCCTCAAAGCAGTGCAGTCAGAAAGGAAAGCAAGACAGACCCTGCATGACTCACAAGGTCTTTGCACTTCGATGTTCTCCCTTCCATCACTTCAGAAATCAGCTTTTAGCAATGGGCTAAAAAACCCTATGGTAGTTAGTTTTGTCCTCAATAGTACAGCACAGCATTTTTTATTGCTATCCTGATTTAAATAATTAGAAAGAAACAGCATGTTTGAGTAGACTACTCAATATTGCACTTAACTATTCCTTTTTTCCAGGGATATCATGCTCAAGTTTTCCCGTGACGTTGTCAAGTTTTTCTGTGGGATTGTCCCCTCTGCCCTACTGCAAGTGTGACTGTAGTGGGATTTATAGAGTTTACTGCATACAGATGAGAGCAGAAAAAGGAGCTGAGGTTGTGTTAAGTCTTGATTATTTATTTCCAACCTAAAGGGAGAAAGAGCTTCAAAAAGACCCTGAGAGCTCACTGAGACCCAGCATTTGGGAGCCAGGGGCTATTACCTTTATACTTCAGTAGAATCTCTTTGCTTTTATGTCACTGTTTCTAAAGTAAAAACATGTTGAAGACAGGGAGTAAGAACACCAATTCTGAGTGCCTTTCTCAGGCAAAATTTTACTGAAACTAGAAAGTTCGTATGAGCAAGGACTTCCAGGCATGACAGCAAGAAACTTTTCACTCTTAGATGGCAATTTCAAAACCTTTTGGTGAGAAAGGCTGGGGTTGTATGCTGAAGCAATCTGTGGCAACACAAACAGCTCTGTTTCCGTACTCTTCAAGGAGTTCAATATGCTCTAGGTGATGTTACTGTCAAGTGTGGGCATCAAACATCAGTTACATCATTTACTGTGTTATGCAAGCAGGGGTCTTGCTGATTTCTTGTTTGCAGTGTGGATATTTTTCTATGTCTTTGTTGGTCTTTTAAGTATCTTTCTATTTTTTTCAAAGCCTTCCCTTGCAAAAAATACTAATGAAATACACGTAGAATGAGAGAAAGTGTATCTGCTTTTAAATTCTGCACTCCTGCTTGTCTGCACTGAGCAATAAAAGTGAAATCCTGATGCTAAGAACATCAGATTATGTCTGTGCTGTGTGTTTTAGTGTGCTTAAGCCTAAATGCCTCCTGCAGATGTTCCAGCTGGTTTTCAGGTGAGCACAGCCTAGCACAGGAGCCAGAAGACAACCACTGTCTGTTCTAATACCCCATCTGGGTAAAAAGGGAAGGAAAGCTGTGGGGTATACTGCACATTCCACCTACCTGGAAGTCCACATTCCCATTAACATGAGCCAAACTAACAGGCTTCTCTGTGTCTTAACTAATTTTTAAAGGATCAATAATTTTTTAAAAGTTCTCTACTCCTCACTGCATATAGGTACATGAAGGTTTCTTCATTTTGTCCAGGAAACACAGCCAGAGGTTCTCTTTTGTGCAAGTGTCTGACTCCCAGATTTACTTCCAGTTTGAATTCCAGATCTGCATGTTGCTTCACTTTTACAGTAGTCAAAACAAAAGTCTGTAGCTTTGTACAATAGTAAAGGGAAAATGAACAAAATAAGCACATTAATACATCCATCTTATACCCAGTTTATTTAATACCAGAGCAGTAAATACAAATAAGAGTTCTTGAATCTGGCAGTGCTAGAGCTGGTGAGATACAGCTACAACAGTAGTTCTGGAATTCTGTGTGTGCTGGAAAGTTGAAGGGTGTACATGAGTAGTCTTCTGGTTCAGCCTCACAGACATTGACAATACAGTTAAATACTCTGCCCCTGACATGACACAGCAGCAGCTGCATAAAAATAAACCAACTCTGTGCCTGTCAGCTGAGAACTATATTCCACTCTTCGTAGTCTTAGAACAAGTACAGTAAACAAGTGAAATAAAACTATCTTTCCCTCGAAAAAAAAAAAAAGGATGTGATCTTTGGTCAACACTTACTGAAAAGTACTTTAGCATTACTTTATATTATATAGCTCTGTTATCTTATGGGGGTGAACACTTGAAAAATTAAAGTAACCTTACTAGTTTCAATGCAGGTAAAATTTCAGAGCAGAGGTAGACTTCTACTCAGCAACTTCCAAACCCTGAATGCTCACTGTCCCCTGGAATGGGTAGGAGGCAGTAATGCATCTTCAGATCACTTCTCTTTCCTGTCATAATTTCAGGGTAAGCAGAGCCCATTCAAACACACTGGGCTAAGTCCTTATTTAGTTGTCTACAGCAAGAGCTCCTAATGTCAACTGACAACATGTTTAGACCCATCTGAAGTTTAATATCCACATCTGAAAGTGTAGCTAACACATTACTTATAGCTCTCACAAGTGGCATTTCAATACCACAGCGATGACTAGTTGGAAGGACATTGGCCCATAGGAAAAACACTGTGTGAGCACAGGCCCTACCAGCAGGCTGACCTTTAAATCCAGGCAGACGTTCTAAAGAACTTGTGCTCTTTACCAATCCATGTGCTTTCCAAGCTTCCACTCCCATCTAAAACTGAATAGCCACATCCACCTTATAAAACTTTGTTCAAGCTCACAAGAAGTGTTGTGTGAAAGGGCTCAGCCCTGGCCTCACACTAGCCCCAGTTGGAAAATTATTTCACTGAACAAAGACCTTGCCAAAACAGCCCAATGCTCACTAACAATTCACTAACATTTCAGTTCCCACACTCCTCAACCCTCTCTACTTTCTTTCATCACTTAAGAAGAAAAAAAAGCTACTGAAACAGGAGACAAAACTGCTTTTTGTGTCTCTGCTTCCCTACATCTGGTGCCTCTGCAAGGCAGCTTTGCAGGTAAATACCTTCTGTATATTTGGTGTCTAAGCATTTAATCATATGAAATTCAGCAGGTGTTAGGCACACAAGGATCTGAGTCATCCTTGAGTTACATACAAATACATTATCACATGAAGCCATAGTATTTTGCTTTTCTTTAGTGCAAATGTTTTTGCACAAACATAAAAACTTCTTCTCAGAATTCTGAAGTTCACTGTAAATTATGTGGCACTTAGGGACATGGTTCAGCGGTGGACTTGGCAGTGTCAGGTTAATGGTTGGACTCGATGATATTAGAGGTCTTTTCCAACATAAGTGATCCTGTGAAATAACTGTTTATACTTCACCTAGAAGCTCTATCCAAGACCATGTTGGTGTTGAATAGTTACAGACTAAAACTCCCCTCTGGAGCAGCTTACAATTTAAGTGACATAGCCCTAATACAGTAAATCTGTAATAGAACTGGAAATAGAAGGTCAGGTCTTCTAGGTCTAGACCATCCACTTGACCATCCTATCTCCCATCCTTGGTTTCTACTGTCTTACTCCTCCAGACATTGACCTTTGGAGGAAATACACTGAATACCAAGAGCTGCCCCTGCTCCATTATTTCAGCTTGTTCCTACTTCAAGGCTAACCATCTTTTACACAGATTTCCTTCTCTTTCCAAACACATTGTTGATTAACTTGGCCATTGACTTTGATCCACTGGGTCGTCTCTTTTCCTTCACTTTGCAATTTGAAGTGATATTTCTCAGGACTTTGGTGAACATTGCCACAACTTCTTGGTAATGTTCTGCTGCAGACAGTTCACAGAATTGGCACTTGTTATCTATTGCCAGCTTCTGTCCTTCATCCCAGCCAACTTCCCTCATGTGGCATAAATCCTGTTTATTACCAACCAAAAATACTGATGACTCGACCACTCTGAAATCAAAAAGATTCTGATTAGAGAAAAGCTCTGTTACAATATTGTGCTGTATGTTGTGCTACATTCAGGGTGTGTGAAAAATATGTATGTTCAGGTTAATAGGCACTGCGGAAAAAAAAAAAAATCAAAAGAACTAACCAGCCCCCTAACCTTATCAGGTAAAGTTCTAGTTTTTCCATTTGCCATAGTCAAATAATTTTCCAGGCAAGCTATTCTCTATCAGCAGGTTTTCATTTTGTTTTCTTTACTCCATGAATTTATGTATTTTTAATCCACTGCTGCTTTTATACTCTATACTGCTGAGTCCATTGTCAGCACCAGGACTTCATGAAGATCATTATCTCCATTTGTAGGTAACAGAGTCCAAGTGGTACTTCAGTGTCAGTGACGTAACTCAGAAGAAAACACAGAAAGCGTAATTCCAAGATTTTGCCAAAATCACTCCTTTCAGAGAAACCTTAATTAAGAAAGTTCAGCAGTAAAGCAAACAGAGAAGTGTTTTGAGGTTTTTTTCTTCCACTTCTGATATAAGACAAGGATTTCCCTCATTTATTCCAAAAGCATTTCAGCTGCCTGATGCAGAACACACACCACCACATGGACTCACCCTTCAGTTTTGGTGGTTCCTTTGGAAAGGAATTTGTGTCTTACCATATGGTCACCCACACACACAAATAACATTGGGGTCACTGCTAAAGGCAGTTGAGAAGACACTCATGGCATTAAGATTGATTTACTGTGGGAAATGCTTTCTTCATCCCCACACTGGTGCATCTCCATTGGTGATGCAGTGGGAGAGTAGAAGCAAAGAGTGACTCTGCCAGATTTATACCTTTGCAAATCACAGCAGATAGATTTATTATTTATATATATATCATTATTATATGTTGTTTCATTTTTTACTGTTTATTTATAGATAGATTATATTTATGGCAATTATTTAAATAGTAGTTCTAGAAGAAGAAAGAACAAAAACCCAGATATACTTAGCTTCAGACAAAGTTAAATAGATTGCAATTTGCCCCACAGTTTACCTTCAGGTACTTTGTTATTGGTGTTGTGTTATGTCACTTGGCTGCTGCTGGATTTTAATTGCTACTCAGCTGCCTACAGCTCCCAGAAAAGTTCTCAGCTTTATTTTTTTCTGAAGGGGGAGGAAAAAAATGATACCACTTACTTTTTACAAACTCCTGAGTGAGACTCTCGGATCCTGTACAGCAAAGCTTTTGCAAAGGCAAATGATGCTCTGTCACTGATGTCGTACACAATGATAAACCCATCAGCCCAGTGGAGCTCATCGGTGAGGGAGAGCTTCCCCTGCTGTGCCTGAGAGCAGTTCAAATTCACATGCAAAAAGAATGTTACTGTTGTCGCTTCAGAGCATTGTCTCTGTCACTGTGAAGGTCAGAATGTTGTATCTTTTATTGCAAAAGGCATTTAATAGGTCCAGGTGCTGGCATTGAGTTGAGGCAAGTACTGCTCCAAAAGCCTAATAAATACCCAGCACTAGAGATGGCAATTTGGATCACTGACAAATTCCTTATGAAACACACTTTGTTTAAGCAGTAAAATTGCATAACCTGTATAGACACTTCTTAAGCTGAATATTCTGCAGGGTCACATGAGAATGAAACAGAAGGAGCCATCAATATTTGTGCATTTTCTGCTTATAGCTCTGGTTTGCAGGTTCCTAATATTCTGATTCCAGTAAGCTTAATGATTTCCTTTGTTTTCTGCATTTGTTTTGTTTCTTCTTTGAATTGTTAAAGTCTGAAATGCTATTTACCCATAGGGTAAACTTCTAGAGAGCTAGGGAAAAAAAATCTCCTTTCAATCTGCACTTGAGTTTAATAAAACTAGTGACAAAAGTCACTCAAGTGGCAATGGGGTTATACCAGTCCTCAAGTTCCTTCACCCCAAGAAACTGTCACACTTCTGATTTCCAGAAAGCAACAGCTGCAAACTGTCCCATTAGACTAAGGAATGTAACTCCAAAAGTATTTTAAATTAGCTTCTCCCTGCAGATGATTTGGCAGCATCTAGCAAGACCATGTGACCCAAAATAGATAAAATACTAGAAGTTGATCAGGAAATAAAAATTAACAAATTGAGTTTTGCTCTGTGGAAAATCATCTTGAATAGTAAACTGAGGACTGTACTAGTTTAGGAACTAATCTCCACAGACATCCCACCCTGGTAGCCTTGATTAGCTCAGCCCCCCAAATTCTTACCTGTGAACAAGGATCATAAATTTCCAGGTGTATCTGCCTCCCATCCAGGCACAAGTGTTTTGTGTAGATGCATTCTAAAAGATACACAGTATCCACAGAAAATCAGTATTAGTGACTGGGGATGGCAGTGAGGAAAAAAAAAAAGACAGTGAAGGTGAAATTGCATAATACTAAGGGCTTCTTAAGTACTATTTTGTTTATCATGGGGTTTGGGGTTGTTTGTCTGTGACTTGGGTTTGGCTTTTTGGATGGAAGGGATTATTTGGTTTTGTTGGGATTTTCAGAGTTAGGGATTTTTAGTTTGTTTTTGCAGTGTTATTGACTGGTTGTTTACTTTTTTTTTTTAAATACACACTGGAAACAAACTTATTTTATTTTGCAACAACCAACCCCCTTAGGCAGACCAACACCATTCCACTGTGGTGTTCCCAGGGATGTTTTAGTGCAGTGAATACTTTCAGACCCTTGTTTTCCTCTTCCAAACTGGAGGCAAAGAGGATACACAATGCTCAGAATCAGCTAAATGTGGATGATTACCCAGCTTGATATCAGGGCTTGGGATTATAAAAGTAGTCAGACTACATGTAGTTCTGATTCTGCACAAAAGTCATTATTTAGTAATCATTTTTATTTACCATGAAACCTGGTGCTTTCTCATACCAGGTAGCATTAGACTAAGAGTATTGAGAGGATCATGTCCTTAGGATCTAGTCCAAAATATTTCCATCGCATCAGTTCTCAGATTTAGGACTCTCCAAGAGCACTAACAACCCTGAAAACTCTACTGCAGACAGACCAGCACTATTTTAAGCAGTAGGTTGTTCTAACCAAGTGTAACCAGTTGGTGTTCATGGCACTAGTTGTCAACACTTTTCTAGCCTATAATTTTTTTCTGAACTACAGAGACAAGAACTGGTGTTGGCACTATGGAAAATACACTTTAAACTCTATAATGAGGGATAGGTCCATGATCTCTGAAACTCAGCACCTTCAGCTCAGCACCATGTTCATCTTCAGCATTCTCCATGCACATCTTAAGAGTTCATCTGATGATGAGCTATCAGTCCCAAGCATCTCAAGAGTATAAAATCTGCAGCCCCTTGGTGGTTTCCATAATGAAACAAAATTGTAGTTGATATTTTGATGCCACTGACAGTGGTACTATCTTTATTTTACCACCCCTATTCCCACTTTCTTCCCCCTTCCTCCTCTCTAGAAACAGAGTTGAACTTCTCTTCCAACAAACACTTGTTAACAAATTAAAATGTTCTGGGAGTTTGACATGCCTTTTCTGAGACTTGCAGTACTGGAGGCTCAGAACAGGGAAATCTGGGTTTAGTTGCAGGTGGCTTAGAGCACATATGGAGCACAGAGAGCACTACATAAATTACATGTGACAGCTTAGACCCAGATCAGCCAGTTGGGACACAAACTGCCTTTTCAGCCTGTGTTTGTACACTAACAAGTATTGGTACAGCATGTGTGTACAACTTTAACTCCTCCTTCAGAATAAGTTCACTGGGATATATTCAATGCAATTCAGTTTAGTACTTCTGTTTTTTATTTATGGATCTGTGGAAGCTACTCTGTGGGAAAATAAGTGTGGAAATAGTCCTTCAGCAGGGAAAGTGAAGTAGGTGGCAATCTCTGTGCCTTGTTAAGTTTTAGAACTTCTCATGCAGCAAAAACTGGTGTGGCAGCACACTTCCAAAGGTGTTTGTGTATCAGTTAAACACTATTTCTACCCGGGGTGTGAAAGTTCAAGTCTGATTTTGCCATCCTCCAAAATGTGCTCAAGTTCTGTTTTGCCACCATCCTCAGCAGTGTCTCAAGGATCAGCATATTAGTTCTGGCATGAATGTGACACTCTATGCTCAGCACGTGAGGCTCTCACAAAGCTACCAAACCAGCACATCCCTGCAGACGCAGAGGGCTTCACATGGTGCTTTGATTAACCGGCAGTGCCTGATAACAAAACAAAAAATAAATGTTTCACCTCTCCTCTGGAGCCGGGGAGGAGATATTCCATAGAACAGGCGTTGTGGGTGGGTTTTGCCTAGTCTTTTTCTTTACTCTGTTTATCTGCTCCGTGATTGTGCTCACTCTAATCTCCCCTGGGCCGGTTATCTCCCCTTGAGCTCCTCGCCAGCCCCCGCGGCACGGAGCGATGTCCCCGCAGACTCTCAGCTCGCCTTTCCCCCTCCTCGGAGGGCTCTCCGATAAGCGAGCACAAACTTTTCCCCCTCCTCGGAGGGCTCTCCGATCAGCGAGCACAAACGCCTCTTTCCCAAAACTTCTGGGAAGTCACCTTTCCACCCAAACGCTCCGTCACCCGGGGAGCGCCCCGCGCTGCTCACCGGAGTCCGACGCG